AAAAAAGAAAAGAAAAGAAAATGAGACAGGGTCTCACTGTGCAGTTCAGTCTAGCCTTGAGCTCACTTTGTAGCCCAGGATGGTCTCAAACTTGATCCTCCTGCCTCAGCCTCCAAGTGCGTGCTGGTATTACAGGCATGCTGGGATTACAGGTGTGCGCCACCATGCCTGGCCCTTTCTTTTGAGACAGTCTGGCCTCAACTTCATGATTCTCCAGCTTTGCCTCCCGTGGTGTATGTGCCACCATGCCCTGTGCCCTGTGCAATGCACCGTTTATCCCTCTCAACAGAGCTGTGAAGTAGGCTCTGCTGCCACTTCCATTTTATGAAAGAACTGGCCAAGGTTACAATCAGTAAAGATCCAAAAAAGCTAGGATTAAAACTCAGATAAGGCTGGGAGTGTAACTCAGCAGTAGAAAATTGCCTAGCATGCACAAAGCCCTGGCTTCAATCCCCAACAATACAAAAGAAAGAAACTCATTTGAACATCTACAGTCTGAACCCTGAAGACCTCATGTTTTCTTGGACCTGACCACACCCTACCCATCTATTTCTCTACTCCAGATCAGCCTTCTGTGCCAATCAGTTCTTTGCCTTCCTCTCCCCAAAGATGAAATTATGCCCCACATTGTTCTTACAAATTCCTTCAGCTTTCCTTGCAAGTTCTACCTATCACCTAAGGCTTCTACAAACCCCACTTCCTTGAAAACTTTCCCGCTTCCCTCTAAACAAAGATCCCCAAACCCCTGATTCATGGTCAGCATGACTTCACTCAGAATTTAATACTGCCTAGTGCTTCTCACACACCTAGACCTTAAGGTCCTCTGGGAAAAAGTACATCTTTCCTCACCCTGCTGCCTACACATCAATACAAAGGAGGGAGGGAAATGGAAAGAATACACCCTTCTCACAAAGGTTAGGGACTTCTCTTCAAAAAATTATTTGTGGGGCAGAATGACTAGTGTAGTTCTTCATACGTCACCTGAGCCAGGAGGGTCACAGCCTGGGCTACTTTGTCTTAAAATAAAGAATAAAAAGTTGGGCGTGGTGGCACATGCCTATAATCCCAGCACTCGGGAGGCTGAGGCAGGAGAATCGTCGCAAGTTTGAGGCCAGCCTGGGCTACAAAGTAAGCCCAAGGCCAGCCTGAACTGCCTGGTGAGACCCTATCTCAAAAAGATAAAAAAAAAAAAAAAAAAAAAATAGAAAAGGCTAGAGAGGGGCTGGGGATTTAGCTCAGCAGCACAGCGCCTGCCTGGCAAGCATGACATTGTGAGTTCGATTGCTGGTACTGGGGGAAAAAAAAAACGAAAAAGCAAAAAACAAAAAAAAAGGCTGGAGATGTAGCTCAGTATGAAAGCTCTGGGTTTAGGGGCTGGGGATTTAGCTCAGCGGCAAAAGCGCCTGCCTGGCAAGTGCAAGGTCGTGAGTTCGGTTCCCGGTACCGGAGAAAAACAAAAACAAAAAAATACAACAAAGGAAAGCTCTGGATTTAATCCCTAGTATCCCCCAAAAGCCATCTGAGAAGTGACATAAGCAATTCAACAGCATGACTTTCATACCCTGTGTTTCATCAACTCTACTTATTTTTATATTTTTTATAGAGCTACATCTTATAGTAAACCAATGTCAATCTAATGGTATTTTTTTTTTTCTTTCTTAGGAGACTCTCACATAGTGCATTTTATAATAGTCAGACTTGATGAAACAGGAGAAAACAAGAACAACTGTTTTATTTTTGTGGTGCTAGGGATTGAATCTAGAGCCCTGCACATGCCAGGCAAGTACTCTACCACTGAGTTATATCCCCAGCTCCAGAATAATAGTTCCCTTTTGCTGTTTTTTTTTTTTTTTTGAGGCAGGGTCTTACTATACAGTTCAGGTTTGCCCTGGACTCACTATCTGGAGCAGGCTGTCCTTACCCTTGCTTGCAGTGATCCTCCTGCTTCAGCGTACTGAATGCTGGGATTAAGCGCATATCACCAAGCATAGTCAGAATAGTTCTAAACTACATCTGACAAACAAGATGAAAAATCATAATGAACTACCACATAATAATAAAATAATAATAATAATAATAATAATAATAATGGCAGCATTTAGAACCTTGTGTTAGTTATCCCAGGTATTTTACACCAATCATCTGAATTAACATGTGATCTTCTTTTTCATTCCACATGTATTAGAAAAAGGACTTTATACCTTAGAGAAATCAAGTAACTTGCCCAAGGCCATATACTTGGTAAGTGCTACAGTCACAAAGCAAACACTGGTCAATGACTCCAAAGGCGAAGAACATAACTGCTTATGATATAAAATAAACCAAGCATGATGGTGCACACCTGTAATCTCAGCCCTCTGGAAGGCTGAGGCAGGAGGATCACAAGTTTGAGCTTGGCCTGGGCAATTTAGCAATTTAACAAAGTCCTGTCCCAAAATAAAAAAGGGCTGGAGATTAGCTTAGTGCTAAGCCCATGAGTTCAATCCCCAGTTTAAAAAAATGGAGGGAAGAGGGAGACAAATGTCATAGTAAGACTCAGCCCAGCCAGGAGGTTAAGGCAGGAGGCTAGCAAGTTAAGTCTTGCCTGGGCAACTTAGTGAGATTCTGTCTCAAAATAAAAAATAAATAAATAAAAAAGGGGTAGGAGCGATGGGATGTGGCTCAGTGGCACAGCTCTTGCCTTGCATGCACAATGCCCTTGGTTCGATCCCCAGCACCACAAAAAAAAGGTCGTGAATACAGCTCAGTATAAAAGTGCCTCTGGATTTCATTTCTAGTAAAGCAAATAATAACAACAACGACAATAACTATAATAAATTTTTTAAAATTTAAGGTAATGCACACTGATTTTATTTCACTATCAAGGACACTCAATTTCCCTTCCTTAGTACTGGGGATTTAATCCAGAGCCTCACACCGAGCTACATCCCAGGCTTTTCCCCTTTTACTTACTCTTCAGTCCTCAGCACCTGAAACATGCCCAGCACACAGTAAGTAGGTGCTCAAAAATATTTATGAAAAAAATATTTACTTGCCCCTTTACTGTTGTGCATTTTAGGACTGGGGATACAGCTTAGCGGCACAAGCGCTGCCCAAATACTGCAAGGTCCCGAGTTTGATCCTCGGTACCCCCACAAAAAAATTGTCTGAATACTGTCGTGCGTCTTCAAATTTTTCTGCAAGTCTCGAAGACCAAATAAAATAGAACCCTGCATTGAAATTTGCCTACTGAAAATGAGGAAAAAATATTAATAGGGAGAAATCCGTTGATTAAGTCTAACACATATATTACTACTCAAATCAGAAGACTTGGTCTCAAAAAAGGAAAAAAAAATTTAAAAAGACATTCCCAAGGACATCCTGCTTCTGCTCACTCCAACCTCATCTCCACTACTTTACTCACAGTTTGCTGACTCCACATCCTACATCAAAGCTTCTCAAGTCTCCACATACCAGCATTAACTGTTCTCTTCTTCTAGGCTGCCATTCCTCACTTCCTCCTCTATTCTCTCCCACCCCTCAGGACTCAGAATCTTCCAAGGAGCCCTTCTTTAAACAGCCAGATGGCGCAGGCCTGTCATCCCATCACTCGGGAGGCTGAGGCAGGAGGATGGTTGCAAGTTCGGGACCAGCCTGGGCTACACAGTGAGCTCAAGGCCAGCCTCAACTGCATAGGGTGACCCTGTCTCAAAACAAGACTAAAAAAAAAAAAAAAAAACAACAACAAAAAGAAATCCAGCCAGAACAGCACGTAACATCCAACCGAAATCATGCATTAGCACATCTCTAGTTCAACTGGACTGTACGCTCCTCCAGGCCAAGCAGCAGGATAAAAACCACGAAGACTGGGAAAACCTGCTAACCTCTGCTTCCTTCTCCCTGGGACCCCCTTCTCAATTAAGGGCTCGCCAAATGACGAAAGTAACAGGAGTGAAAAAAACTCAAAAGGACCACACGCCAAAGCGTCAACACCGGGTATCAAAACACGGTGAAAGCCATCGTCCGCCCTCCGGCACTTGCCTCCACAGTACAGGACTCGCAGAGGGTAGTCAGCATCTGACTTGGCACTGCTCCTCGGATCGCCTCTGACATCGGCCCCACCGGGCTCGGAAACGTCCGCAGCCATCTCACAGACCTGTAAGCAGGGAACCGACGCCCTCGCCATGCCGCACCAGGCCCCCAGCGGGGTCGCCCGGGGGCGGAGTCCGACTCCCTCCCGCGCCGGCCTCCGCGCACAGCGCTCAGCTCTCTGCGCCGGATCGGGGGAGAGCAGCTCCCGGCCGCACGGCCACGGGGCGACCTCGATGGGGCCGGTCAGGGCGTCCGAGGGGGAGCGGGAGGCCGCCCGCTGCAGCGGGAGCAAGGCTCCCGGCCGGGGCGCAGGGCGCGGGGACCCGAGTGGCACGGGGGCGGCGAGGGGCGGGCGCGAGGACGCTGCGCGGGGCAAGGGGCACAGAGACCCGGGCAGCGGCGGAAGGGGACGCGGCTGAAGCGCCGAGGCGGGCAACGCCGAGGCCGCGGGCAACCCGGGGACCCGGAGGGGCCGTGTGGGCGGGGCGCAGACACCGGCCCCCTTCCTCCGGGCGCCGTCTCAACTTCCTCCACGATAGGAGCCTCTCAGAACCGGAAGGGGCGACGGGAGCGTTTACCCGGGCGGTCGCACAGCCCTGGCCGCCTCCGCTGCCGCCGCTCCTGCCAGATGAAGCAACACATGCAACTCCTCTTCGCCGGCTGGGGCCGCCCCAGAACCCGTCCACCCGGCGTGCGCTCGCGAGACTATAAATATTTCTCGCGAGATTCATGCCGCTACCAGGTGGATGTCGCGAGATACCGGAGTGAGGGGGCGGGACGAAACTAGAAAGCATGCGCCCTCCGTTTGGGGGCGGTAGTAAGCTGGGCAGAGGTCGCCGGCCGGTAGGCGGTGCTCGCCACCTGTCGGAGGGTGCGTCGCTCCAGATGTGCGCGTGCGCAAGCACAGGGACGCGGTCCTGACTCAGAAGTGAGTCTCCGTTAATAATCCCGGGAAGTGCTGGCCCAGTGTCTGGGGTACATCCTGGATCCTGACTAACCTCCTGGACAGGCTACATCACGGCCCTGGGGGCAGACTGCAGCTGGATAAGGCGTTTGGTCTCATCTCAGTACCACACTCCAATTGGATGCTATTTAGTTTTTCATCGCCCATAATCTAACCGCGCTAACAATTCTTTTCATCACCTCCGTTTTTACCTATCTCTATATGTGATTTAAATTGGAATTATTTTATCCCCTCTCAGGACTTTGCCCCGAATCCTAAAGCCTACTTGATGTATCTTAGTTTCCCTTCCAGCTATTTTATTTTGGGAACATTCCTTCATCTGCATACTCAGCCGGAGTCCCGCAGGTGAAATGGAAACCATAACACTATGCAGAGTTCAGAGTGTGAGAGGTTGGAGGATAAGCCAAAACAGTGCTGTGTAGATGAGAGCGTCCTCATTCTATTCTATTTTGTTTTATCCTCCACTCACGCGACCTAGTGACCTAATTCCCCTCCTTCACTGCCAGGTTCATTCCCTGATGATTGAACCCAGAGGCACTCTACCACTGAGCTATGTCCCACCTACACTTCTAAAAACAGGGTCTGAAAGTTGCCCCCCAACTTGGGATCCTCTTGCCTCAGCTTCCCAATTAAATGGGATCACAGATGTGCACCATCATCCCCACCACTGGTACAATTTTTTCCACGAGAAACTCATTCAGTCTAGCCTCCACTTGGCAACTTTCTTAAATGAAGAGGATTCCTTCTATCATAAGCGGCCGGGAATATAGCTCAGCGGCATAAGATTCTGCCTGGCAAGCGCAGGATCCTGAGTTCGATTCCAGATACAAAAAAAAAAAAAGGAGTCCCTTCTATCATAAGAGAGTGAATTCTATGTTATACCAGTGAAGCAAAATATCTGGGCCAACCAGACATGATGGTGAACCCTGTAATTCCAGCATTCTGGGAAGTTGAGGCAGGAAGATAGAGAGTTCTAGCCCAGCCTAGGGAACTTCATGACTTAGTGAGATCTTCCAAAATAAAAACAAAAAAAAGGGCTGGCGGTATAATTCAGCGTGAAGACCCTGGGTTTGATCACAGTCTGAAACACACACACACACACGCACACGCACACACACGCACACGCGCGCGCGCACACACACACACACACACACACACGATGTGCCAAGCACCTTAGTAGACTCCAGGTGGATCAATTTTATAAATTGTACTTAAACGAGGGGAATAGCTCGTTTACTTAAGTTCCTGCTATCTACCAGCACAATGCTAGTTCAGTTTTATTTTTCCTTTTTTTTTTTTTTTTT